CGACAACAATGACTTTAAATTATCTTTTGGGAGTAATTTCTCAGCCAAATTTGATGTGCAATTAATTTGCGATTAATTAGATTAATTAATCGCCATATCATGTAATTAATTAGATTAAAAATATTGGTCCCACTTTATATTAAGTGGCCCTAATACCTGTGTACTTTAGTTACAGAAATATTACAGCTCTAGATACTATGTACCAATGTGTACTTACACTGTGGTTACATACTACGTACATGTCTAGTTACTATGCAAGTACACAGGTATTAGGCCCACAATATAAAGTGGGACCAAAATATTAATTGCTTACCAGCCCTAATAAATACATTAAATTATATTAATACATTTAATCACAGTAATAATAACATGCAAGAATATATTACTCATACTTAGGGGAAGGTTTCCCCTTTAGGGAACTCGTGCTACATCAGAAATGCCTTGGGAATGCCTTTGCGTGACCACGCTCTGAAGCACGTGTGAAATCAGTCCAATGGAATGGCAAGACATCACGGGTGAGGTGACGTAGAGACCAGGAAGCTGAAAAGCGCATCAGGTGTAAACAGTAGAAAAGAAGAAAGCTTGCAAACAGCGCTTTACTTTGTGTGTTCCTCCCTGCCCGCGCTTCATCACTGGTAGGGATACGCATGATTTATGCGTTGTTTGTCTCAGAGCAGGCTTGCGGCAGAGCGGCTGCAGTCATGGGGGTCACAAATGGATATAGTGGATGGGTTGGAGATGGGCTTGTCCCTTTTTTTGCCCTCACCCACCAGAATTAGTGTTCTCTCTCTCAGGGATCAGAAGCCTGCTCCACGGTTTCTTCACACCAGAGGGAGGGCTCGATGCTTTGCCTGTCTTCCTCTGATGAGGTTGATGTGGTGGGCATCGACCAGGATAAGACTGAGGACTTGCCACCCTAGTCCATCCAATATTTGGAGCTGCTGGAGGTAGTGACCAGAGCGGTGGCCAAGCTTAAGATCGACTCACCCGCCAAAAAGCAGGATGATCACCCCAAGAGTAAGTTGGATGAACGCTTCATGCAAATTATTCTAATATAGTGGGGCTGAGGAAGCAGGACTGTGGGGCAATGCCTCGGGTAGAGGAGATGCTTGTGCTATCTGTCCCCCGAGTCGGCGTCGTCCCTTAAGGCCCTGGTATTACCCACCAAGCCACTTAGAACAACCTCGGCACTCTTTAGTAAGGCCTATACGGCGACAGGTCAGGCCAGTGCTTGATGAGCATAAGAAACTTCTTTAATAAACATTATTGATCCCAAACTTTTGAATGGCAGTGTATTATACTGTAAAAAAAAAAAAAAAAATCTCAGGAAACCTAAAATGTGCATCATTTAGTCACGGGTCAAATTAAATACAAATAGCACATTAAAGTTAAAAGTTACACACTTTTTTTGTGCGCGTGCTGTACAGGTCTGGTATAAAGAATGTTTTTGCTCAGGTGGCCGAAATGTCCGCCCAATAGAGAAAAGTTTTGCTAAGCAAGAAAAAAAATTAGAGGGAACATTGCCAGGCCGATCTGCTTAAGGACCTTAGGGGAGGAGGTCGGCTCTGACAATATTAACCCTCTGGGGTCTGAACTGGTTTTGGGGCCCTGGAGAAGTTTTGACATACCCTGACATTTGTCCTTTTTTCAGTTTCTTATAAACTTAAGTCTGTTTGATTACACTACATTCAGCACAAACTGGGCTACAATAATATGTGAGCAGGATGAACGTACATATTTGTGTTTTTGAGAAAACAATGTTTATGCGTGGTTAGTGCAAAATGCTTTGGTTACTAACGTAACCTCAGTTCCCTGAGATAAGGGAACAAGCGTTGTGTCATTTGCCGTGCTATAAGCTGAATGCGAATCTATGGCTGTTGTTGCAGTTGAAAGATTCTTATGAAATGGAGCTTGGAGCCGACTTATATAGAGGTCGGCTCCTCCCTTTCTGGTGGGCCATTGGTTTGTGCAGCTACACAAATGTGAACAAATCAGGCTTTAGTAACAGAGTAAACCGGAGTTTACCCACATTGTACGCAACGCCTGTTCCCTTATCTCAGGGAACCAAGGTTACGTTAGTAACCAGACTAACCACGCATAACCATTGTTTTCTCAAAAACACAAATATGTACGTTCATCCTGCTCACATATTATTGTAGCCCAGTTTATGCTAAATGCAGTGTAATCCCTTTCGAACGGTGTCTCCCATTGCGTAGAAGGCATATGGGGAATGCATCCAATCACGCCTTGCTATGAGCATATGCAGAATGAATCCTGCTCTGTGAGCCCAGCCTCGAAGCACCCAAGTTAAGGACTCCTAGAAGCATGAGCAAAGTTGAGACCCAAACCAATAGGCTGAGGACCACAAGACAATCTTTCCCACACTTAGGGAGAAATAGGTAAATTAAGCAGACAAAAATCCATGCCTGCAGGGCAGGGACATCTAAGCTATAGAATCTGTCAAAGGTGGACGGCGACGACCAGCCGGCGGCCGCACAAATCTCACTGATTGAAATTCCGCTAGACCACACCCAAGAGGACGCATTCCTATAGTGGAGTTGAGAGCACCTTAGGTACATAACCATGTCTTGGCTTGAGAACGACTCTACAGTCATTAGGCCAAAACTCAAGACAGGAAACACTGACTGACATGATGATGCTAACACCAATAAGGCCGCAGTTTGGCCGAATGGAGCGGCTCAAAGTGAGGGCCCTGTAGGGCCCTTAGGACTATGGACAAGTCCCAGGTTGGCATAATATGAGACGAATATGAGGAGAATAATATTCTATAGCTTAGACGTTCAACCTCAGAGTGCTCCTCAAGAATTTAACTACTAGGTTGTTTCTGCTGATTGATTGGCCAGCTTTGACATAATAGTTTGCCACATAAACTTTGAATGTGGAAGGGGCGTGCCCATTGTCCAGCAACTCTTGCAAAAAAGTTAGCACGTGGGACACCTCACAAAAACCCAGATCCAGGCTTCATGCTGAACACCAGTCATGGAAGACTGACCATTTAAGGGCTTAAAGGCCACTCGTAGATGGTGCTCTAGCCTCTAAAATGGTGTTGTTAACTCTCGCTGGGAGCTGCACATGCTCCCGTCGAGGGCCCAGACATGAAGGCTCCACAGCTCTGGCCGGAGGTGCCAAATCATGCCCTTTGTGTCCGAGAGAAGTTCCTTCCCCAATGGTATTGACCACGGCGCTGCTGCTGACAGCTGCACTAACTCGGGGAAAAATTAATGGTTCCTCTACAGTGGGGCCACCAGGAGGACTGAGCATTTGACTTCCCTGACCCGTTTGATGGCCTGAGGAAGCAGGGCAATCGGGGGGGGGGGGGGTATACAGACGAATGCTGG